GGTTGGGGCGCGCACCCCCCTCCCCTCCCTCGTGTTCCTGATTTTTTGTCTGCTCCTCCTGATATCCCCCCTATCCTCCCCCTCCTCTTTTCATCCTCATAATTATTTGTCCCCCCCCCCGTTTTTCTTTTCCTCCCTTTCCGCCCTTTTGGCCAGCCCCCCAGTCCAATTCCAGGTCCTGCGCGGCGACGGAGTGCCTGGCCGCGATCTCCGCCGCCTTCGCGGCGAAGCCCTGCTCCTGCAGGACGTAGGCCTTCTTGAGGTCCTTGAACTTGTTCTGTTCCTCCAACACCTCCTCTGGCGTCGGGAGGGGGGAAGCGCGTTACTCCCGTCGCCGACGACCGCGCCACGAGCCTGCCAGACTTCGCGGTGCACTTCTGCCGTTCCAGCAAGAGCACCTCCTTGCGGACGTGCCCGTCGAAGGCGCGCTTTTCCTCCGTCTCCTCGAGCGCTTCCCCTTCTTTCTGGACCTGGAAGCCCCCCTCCTGCTCCCCCTTGCTCTCTTCGCGCCCCCCCTCGTCCTTCGTCTCGTCGCCCTTGTTGTCGCGGGCGCACCAGCCGCCGCGGTAGAAACGGCAGCGGTCGCCGTAGGAGCGCCGGCCCTTCTGGAAGTCGCGGCACGGGGCCCGCCAGCCCCACGTCGCCCAAGAGTGCCTCGTGCCCCCCTTGTTCTTTTGGTGCTCCTCCCTCTCGTCCTTGTGGTTTGCCGTCTCGCCGTCCTTCCCCTTCGTCGGCTTTTGCTCGGTGCCCTGGCCCCCTGTGTGTTGTTGGTTATCCTTCTCCCCGGCCTTCTGTGTCTTTGTCTTTTTCTCCTTCTTCTCTGTCGCCTTCTCCGTCTCCTTGTCCAAAGAGGGCTGTGGGCTTCTGTTGTCCTGCGGGTTCTGCTTCGCTCCGCCCTCCTGGCCCCCCGCCCCGTTTTCCTTCCCCTTCGTCGCCTTGTGCTCAATGGCCTGCCCTCCCGTGTCTTGCTGGTTGTCCTCCTTCCTGCCCTTCTGGCCCCCCGTCTTGTTTTCCGTCTTCTCCGTCGCCTTTTCCAACTCCTTGTCCCCGTCCTTCTTCTCGTCCCCGTGGGCTCGTTTGGCCTTCTTCCAGAGATCCGTTTCCTTGGTGGGGTCGAACAGCCATTCGCCTTTAGGCTTGGACGTCTTTCCCTCAGCGACGGCTTCGGCCCATTGGCGCTTTTGGCGCGAGAGTTGTTTTTGAGTGGCCGGCGTCGCTGTGCGCGTTGAAAAAATTCTGCGGTGCAAACAATGCTCGATCCTTATGATTACGTGTCCATGCACTTACTTCGATATCAAGCTCAAGCAACCTTCCACCCTCTATTTTCACTCCCTGCCTCCCTGCCCCCCGTTTCCTCCCCTCCTGGGATTTCCCTCCCTCTGCTTGCGCAAATCCTCCCTCCTCCCCTTTATTCCTTCCGTCCTTCCTCCTCCACCCCTCCTCCTCATCCTCCTTCCCTCTCTCCCTCCCCCCCCCCCCTCCTCACTCGTCTTATCTAGCCAGAAGCGGAAGCAGGTTTGGACAGAAAAAAGGAGCAAGCGAAGGAGGGAGGAAGAAGAAGTGGGCAGCGCGGTTGCCAAAATTAGCTCGCAATCGCACGGGGGGACAAGGCAACTGGCATGAATATATGGGAACAAATGAGGGGCTCAAGAAGAATAAGAAGATACATAAGAACATTAAGAAGAACATGTATGATCGCCTGGGAAGGTGCCAGGAGATTGAACAGGGACCAGGAGGATGAAGAGGAGCAGGAGGAGGAAGATAATCCGTCGTTTGATGGTGCTGGGGGCGGGGGCGAGCTAGGTTGCCCCCGCCCCCAGCACCCCCAAACCACCCAAAAACAAAAATAACAACGCCAACCTCCTCCTCCCCATCCTCCGACTCCTTGCGAGTACTGCCATACCGTGACCCCCACCTTGCTCCTGCGCCAACCCCACGCCCCCCAAGGGCAACGCGCCAGGCAGGAAACACTGAAAACACAGGTATCCAAAATATGTTTGAAGGTTTTGGTAAGGAAACCATGTGAAAACACAGGTTTCCCAGATATGTTTGAAGGCTTTGGTAAGGAAACCTTGCGAAAACACAACTATTCCACATAATTTCTGGCTTCCTGGAGACAGGCGTCCCTCCCCCTGCTCCTTCACCCACTCCACACCCCCAAGGGCGACGCGCCAGACAGGAATCCATGTGAAAACACAGGTACTCCAGATATGTTTGAAGGCTTTGGTAAGAAAGCCCTGTGAAAAAACATAGGTATTCCATAAATGTTTGAAGGTTTTGGTAAGGAAACCTTGTGAAAACACAAGTGTTCCAGATATGTTTGAAGGTTTTGGTGAGGAAACCATGCGAAAACATATGTATTACACATTTTTCTTGTTTTCTGGAGACGGGCGCAGGGGGGAAGAAGGGGGGGCGCAGCAGGAAGGGCGCCCGTCTCCAGAAAACCAGAAAATGTATGTAATACTTGTGCTTTCATACGGTTGCCTCACCAAAACCTTCAAACATATCGGGAACACCTGTGTTTCCACATGGTTTCCTTACCAAAACCTTCAAACATATTTGGAATACCTGTGTATTCACAGGGCTTCCTTACCAAAGCATTCAACATTACCACGAATACCTGTGTGTTCGCAAGAGGCTTCCTCGCCCAAGCGCTCAAACATATTAATATTCTCATACGCACCTCTCCGAGGGAGTAGAGCTCAGAGGGGATTAGTGCGTCCGTGCGTGCGTCCGTCTTTGATTTTTCTGGCCGTTTCGCTCGGGACATCCTCGAAATTCTGAAAATCGGTGGCACCCCTCACGCAGATCGTGAAGGAGAGGTCCAACAACACATGGGAATTTCAACATTTTAACATAAAACCTTCAAAAACACATAGTAATTTCAATAATTTTGACCCCGATTCTCAGAGAATGGCGGTTTCGCCTGAGACATCCTCTCCAAATCGAGCCCCAGACCCCTCTTCGGAGCCTCCTGGGGGCATCCTGGAACCTCCTGGGGCCTCCTGGTGCTTTCTGGACCTTCTGGTACCCCAGACCCCGCCTCGGAGCCTCCTGGAGTTCTCCTGGGCCTGCTGAGGCCGCCTGGGGCCTCCTGGGGCCTCCTGGGGCTTCAAAACTACATGCACACACAGAGACACAAATCACGCCCAACACATCACACGCTAGACAAACATAACATACACACACACAACACCGACAACACACAAAAAGCACGCACCACACAAAGCACACATCACACACACACACACTCACAATCCTGGGGCCTCCTGGAGCCTCTTCTGGTATCCAAGTCGGGCCTCCTGAGGCTTCCTGGGGGGCCCTGGTACACACATCGCAAGGTGTGGCAACCCCACTTGCGCTCGAGTGCGACTTCGCTGTTGCATGTCACTCCTGCTTCAAACGCCCCTTCAGCTTGTTGTATGAGCCTGGGCACACACGTGCCACTTGTTATTTGCGCTTTTGGTCACCAGGTTTCCGCGCCAACGCCCCCTGCTGGGTCCCCTTCCTGGGCCCCTTCATGGGCCCCTCCTGGGCTCCTCCGGCTCCTGGGGTTGCCGTGGGGGTCTGCGCCCTAACAGAAATTTATAAATAAGGAACGTAATAGTTATTGTTCGATGCTTCGCCTCGCGGGAGTGTTTGCTGTTTCTGGTATCGTTGCATCATTATGTGCCCCCTTGTTAGGTCCCCTCGTGGGCCCTCCTCCTGGGTTCGCCGTGGAGGGGCGTGCGCCCTCACGGAAACTTATAGATACGGAAGGATTATGTTTCAACACGTCGCCTCCCGAGAATATATATATATATATATATATATATAAAATATGTATATATATACACACGCATACATATACATATACATATACATATACATAAATGTACATACATATACAACGTGAGAGGAATAGAGTTTAGGCTACACAAGCGCCAAAAAACAAAGGACAAAAGAGAGAGAGAGAGAGCAGTGGAGTGCTTTATGTGCGTGAGAGAAAGTGCAAGGAGTATTGGCTGATTCTTGTTCCTTCGGGTGTGAGTTTCCGTTTGCGTTTGAGTCTGAGCGTGTCTGGAGAATTATTGGTGGAAGTGTTGTTTCGGATGGCCGGTTCTTGGTTCCGCTTTGTTGTTTTCTTTCAAAACAGTAGCACAGAGAGAGGGGGGATGGTAGTCCAGTAATCAGGTCTGCCAGCGTGGACCCGAAGTTGCGTGTCACGCGCAAGTTAGTGCAAGCTATGTGGTTCAAGCTACCTGGCGCAAACCATGTGAGGCAGGCTACCTTGTGCAACATATGTGGCTTCAATTCTGTGTTGCTTCGATGTGTCACCGCCCACTGGCGCTCACCAGGCGAAAACCAAAAAACTGCCAGCCAGCACGCGACGTCCACGCAGCGTCCCTTTGCGCCCACCGGGCTAAACCCAGAACGATCAACCAACCCTGGGCGCCCACAGGGCGACAACCCGGCACACCCAGCCAAAGCGAGGCGCCCACGAGGCGCCGACAGAGGCCCACCAGCCGCAAACTTGGACCACTACTACTACTACTACTACTACTACTACTACTACTACTACTACTACTACTACTATTACTACGACTACTACGACTACTACTACTACTACTACTACTACCACCACTACTACTACTACCACTACTACTACTACTACTACTACTACTACTACTACTACTACTACTACTACGTCTGCTACTACTGCTACGGTTACGACTACGACTACGAACCGCCATGCTCATAGGACACACGTCGATTTCTCTTATCGCAAGCACTTGCTGGGGAGAGAAGGAGAAATAGAATCCACAACTAGCGCACCAGCATGGATGGTTCCAGCATGTGCGATGGCCCCAATCTGGTACATGATTTGGCGCAGCGGTGTCCGAGCTGGCTGGGCGCCAGAGAGAAGCTGCATCAAAGGTGTGCGACTCTTTCGACAAACAAACATGCGTAGATGGGTGCCGCAAAATGCGCCACGCTTCCCTGCCTTACGGCTTAGCGGGTACTTACTGGTGTGTTCGTCGAGAACGCTTTGAAGCTAGCACAGCCGAACTTTTTCGAGAAGGCGGCAGAGCATCACAGGGATCTGGTCGAGCAGGCGAAGGTGTTACAAGAATTGTGTTGTGAATGGGACACCGATGAGAACGGCCTGCTCTCCTACCAGGAATTTGTCGACATGGTCTCCCATCCAAAGGTCTGAGGCTCAAGATGACACGGCCGCTTCTTCACCCGAGCTATGACAGGGTACGGTTCGATTGCAGTCGGGGGGGGGAGAAGCGGGGGAGAATGGAAATCGCAAGCAGGGGAGATGTTTGCCGAGTTTTGAGGGTAGGTGCCCTTGCAGCACGTACGTGTTTGCAGCTGCCCCTTAGCACATTTGAGGCGATTTGCTTGACCAACAAGCCAGAGTTTCGGGTATCGGGTCATGTGTATGCGATCGGGCATTGTTCGATCAGTTTGTTCACATGTCATTGGTAAAGCGCGTCCGAGGCAAGCCAGCACCATATCAGAACTCTGCTCCACAGAGTCAGGGTCCGCCTGTAAGCCCATTCCTGGTGCGACCGTAATTGGCAGCGCTGATGCTTACGATTGTAGATGGAACGCTTCCTGGCTCAGAGTGCTGATTAAGCGACAGGACTACCTTGTCTGCTGGTGATGAGAACTGTGGGGTTACAAGAATCAAAGTGCACGCGCCTTTCCATTACAAGCATGTCACCGCACATGCCCCAAACAATGATTGCACGTAGGGGGCTCTTGTTTGTGTGTGGTTAGGGGCTGGGCCTGAATCGCGGGATCGGACTGCCGTTCTCTCAATGGGGTGCCGTGCGTGGGGTCCCACACAACGTTCAGTCCTTTTCGCTCATCTTTCAGGGCTGGTTGCGTGACACAGATCGTTGGCCATCGGCATGGATCATTGCCGACAATCTAGTCAAGCGATTGCGGAAGCGAGTCGATCTAGTCGATCGTGCGTGAGTTGTTTAGTTGCGATTGCCAACCAAGGTTAGAAAGTATTTGGACTATTTGGGCTTGGAGGTGCCCAGCCTGGAGATGTTCTTTAGTCTGTTGGCCGATGATTGCGGCCAAGTCAGTTGCAATACCTTCGTGACGGCATGCATGCGCTTGCGGGGCGATGCAAAGTGTATAGATATGAAGCAGCTCTTTTTGGAGGTCAAACTGAGCAGAACCCTCAGAAAAGACATCAAGGCCATCAAGCAGGTCCTCAACCAAAGCATGATGCAGGAAGGTCCGGGCTCCGCTCCCGGCTTGGCTCGGCTCGGTTCCCGGACGGGCGGTCTCAAAGTCCGCGAGGGCCAGTTCGCCACACATCACGATTTGAGGACCAATCGTGCCGACAGGCAACCTCCGGGTCGCTTGCCGCGGGGCCGTGCCCCCCGACAACAGGGAGCGATGGTTGTTGGCCCGTGTCCGCCTCCTGCGAGTGGGAACGCCCGGCCCGCTAGCTCCAGGCCCCGGGCAGCCCGCTGGTGGCGCGTCAGAGGGCACGTCCTTCTCCAAACAGGGCTTCATCTCCGACGAGTGACGAGTCGAGCTGTGAAGTAGTGTCTCGCCCTCGGCGCGGGGCCGGCGGAGGCAAAACGGAGGCGTCGTCGCAGGTGAAAGCAGGAGTTGCCTCCCCAGGCATCACGCAACAGGAGCCAGGGTCCACGAAACAGGTGGTAGAGCTGTTCGATCGCTTCGCTCCTTCTGCTGGCCCGCATTGTGCCATCGCAGGCGTGTGTTTTCGCGTTCGTGGCCTTTTGGGGCCTCTTGGGGGCCGCTTGGGGGCCGTTTGAGGCGTGTGGGTCGCATTGCAACCAGAGCGGCCACTTTACAATCAGATGGGGCACTTTACAACCAGCATGGGTTTTCCCAGAAGGGCACTTTATAACCAGGAAGGCCATTGTACAACCAGGCAAGTAAACGCACATTAGCAACGCATGTTCTTCAATTTCCGAAATCTCCGTGGGCCCGCGTAAGGGAGACACTTCGCTGTCTGAAGCGTGTTGGTGGTAAAGTGACCCGTCTGAAGCGAGAATATGTCAAGTGGCAGATTCCCAATGGTATCCAACAGGAATCCGATTGGAATCCTATTGGCACCCTTCCAATTGTGATCCTGTTGGCACCAGATGAATCCCATTGGTGTCCAAAAATATTCTTCGCTATGCGGCCTACGGGTGTCCATCGGAATCCGATAGAAAGTCTTCTTACTGAAACCTATTGGGGCCTTTCCGACTGGAAACCGATTGGAAATCTAAATGAATGACAATCGAGGGGCCTTCTTATTGGGATGGTGCGGGAAGCGTATTGGCGTACTATACGGAAGACCGGTGGGGATCCTTTTGGGTTCGCATTCGAATACAATAGGATCCGTCGCCCTTGGAATCCCATCGGGACCATATTTGCGAATACGAAGAATATCGCGCTGGATTCCACTCGGAATCCTTCATGTTCTATCCATGCGGGCATACCATTGAAATCCCATCAGGACCCAACTGTAACCCAACAAGAACCTGTCCTCTTTGAATCATACTGTATCCCGATCTGCTTCCTCTTCTTATCCTTGTAGTATCCAATAGGATCTATCGGAACCCAAAACAGATCCAATCGAGATCCTCCCGCTACAGGCTGGTGACAAGACTGGCCGCTTGAATCCTCTTGTTTACATGTATGCCCTAAAACAAAGCGTTTTTTCGGAGTATCACAACTTCTGCTTGAAAACCTTGCTAGAAGGACAGTGAACGATCGCCGCAAAAGACGCCTAGGAACACGTTCGCCCCCAGGACGACAGAACATGTGAAGTCTTGGTTGGTAAACTTCTAGCCAATACATGCGGATGTCAAATAGTTTTGTTTGCATCGTGGACGTGTGTTGCCCTCGTTCCTGATCGTCTGGCACTGGCAAAACTTGTTTTGTCGCGTGTGCGGGAGCTTGCGTACCCAGGAAAACGGAAACGTGGCCAAGAAACCAGTCATACATTTCTAGCCAGTACACATGGATTCCAAAATGGTGGCCTTTTTCTGCATCATAAACCACGTTTGCCAACGCACCCCGTCGTTTGTCAAGAGCAAAAACCGCATGGGCCCGCAATTGCGGAACTACGTGCTCAGGAGGGGCGGATTTGCGGCCAAGAATTCGGCGGGAACATTCGAGCCATTACGTGTGGATGTACATGTCTGGCCGCGCCGCATCGCTGGGCAATCGCAAAACCGCGTGGTTTCGCATCCGCTGATACATGCGCACCAAGGAGGGCCGACGTGTGGCTAACATTTTGGTTGTACATCTAGCCAGCGCATGTGGATTCCAAGCTGTAGGTTTGCCGCTTCATAGGCCATGTTTGTCCTCGCGTCTCATCGCCTGGCAATAGCAAGGCTGGATGTTGTGCAAGTGCGGAAGCATCCGTATCCAGGACGGCGGAGGTGTGCCGAAGAAGTCGTTGGTTGATTTCTAGCCAACGCATGCGGATTTCAATGTGTATTGATTAAGGCTCGCGAGTATGTGTTGCTCCCGCGCCCCATCGTATGGCAATAGCAAAACTTTATGCTTCCGCTTCGCGGAAGCACGCATACCCAGGAACCTCTGCATAAAGTTCAGACACCCAGGAGCTTCTGCAAAACCCCCAGGCGCTCAGAAATAGGCGCAACACGTCGAGGCGCCCAGAAGCCGCAGAAGTGTCTGCAAAGCGCTCAGGCGCTGAGAAGCCCCTGCCATGCGCTCAGGCGCTCAGAAGCCTCTGCAAAGCGCCCAGGCGCCCAGGAACCCCTGCCATGCGCTCGGGCGCTCCGAAGCCTCTGCAGGACGCTCAGGCGCTCAGAAGATTCTGCAGAGCGCTCAGACACTCCGATGCCTCTGCAGAACGCCCAGACATTCAGAAGCCCGTGCAATGCGCCCAGGCGCTCAGAAGCCTCAGAAGCTTCTGTAGAGCGCTCAGGCGCTCAGGAACCGCTGCAGAACGCCCAGGCGCTCAGACGCCTCAGAAGCTTCAGCAGAGCGCCAGAAGCCTCTGCAGAGCCCCCATGCGCACAGAATCCTCTGCAGAGCGCTCAGGCGCCCAGAAGCTTTTGCAACGCGCTCAGGCGCTCAGAAGCCTCTGCAGAGCGCTGAGGCGCTCAGAAGCTTCTGCAAAGCGCCCAGGCGGTCACAAGCCTCTGCAGAGCGCCCAGGCCCTCAGAAGCTTCTGCAGGGCGCTCAGGCGCTCGGTAGCTTCTGCAGAACGCCCACGCGCCTCTAAAGTGGCCGTTCTGGTTGCAAAGAGCCCCGTCTGGGTTGTAAAGTGGCCGCTCTGGTTGTAAAGTGGACCGCTCTAATTGTAAAGTCGTCGTTCCCAAAGGAAAACCCTGGAATTCAACTCTTTGCTGATTGTAGAGTGATTTTTCTCGGTTGTAAAGTGCCGTACGATTTGTAATGATACCGAATCTCACCGTTTGAGGGCCTCTGTTGGGCCTCCTGGGGGCCTCGTGTGGCCTCCAGGCGGCCTCCTGGGCTCTCTTGGGACCTTCTTTGGGGGCCTCCTGGGGGCCTTTCGGGCCAGAAGGCTCGAATTGGTTGTTCGTGTTCGCTCTCTTGGGCCCCTCGTGGGGCCGTCTAGGGGCACTCTTGGCCCGTGTGGGGGGTATTGGAGCCATCTTGGGCCGTTATGAGGCCTCCTTCGGGGCCTCTTGGACCGCTTCGGGGAGATCTCGGAGGCCTCTTGGGGTGTTTTGGAGCGTCGGGGGGCCGAAAAGGCGAACACGCCCAAATCCATGAAACAACCACATGAGAAATCCATTAGTTTTGCCTCGTGGGATCCTTTTGGGGAGTACTCTTAGAGGCCTCTTGGGCCGTCTGGAGGCCATCTTGGGCGTGCTGGAGCGATCTTGTCGTGTCCTGGAGCTGCCTAGGACCATCTAGAGACGCTCTTGGGGGCCTCTGGGCCGTTCTAGGGACACGTGGGAGGCCCTGGTGGCGGCGCCCACGAGCAACACAATATTTGATGGGAATTTGCCGGGGACCAGCCCGGGGTACTTTTCAGCCGCGGACCACAGAGGCTGCCCCGCGCGCGCGAAGTAGAAAAACGGTTTGGCAGTTACCGGTGATTTTGGCACGCCTTTGGCCCGTTGGGCCGGCGAGTGTAAGCCCAATGCTTGGCTTACACATGATAAAGCAAAGCTGTTCGTCCACATTAAACCGCACCCCTGGCTGGCACACCCTTGCCAATCCTTTGTTTATAAGCAGGTGCCGCTTCGGGAGAAGAACTCGGGGAGCTGCATGGAGGGTCCACACGGAACTATCAGTCACCGGCCGGGCAAATGTCCTTATTCGACGGTTGCCACTAGACTGCGTGTCAGCGGTCCCATCTCCACCTCGTTTTTAAGTTGACCAAGCTTGCATTCAGCCAAGACGGCCTCCAAGATGGCTGAGACAGTCGAGCTAGCCTTCAGGTCGGCCGAAGATGGCTCCAAGTCGGCCCAACGGCCCAAGACAGCCACAGAGGCCCCCGAGTGGCCAGAGCCGTACCCCTCCGTCAGCAGCAGCGCCGCGGCGGTGTTTCCGAGGGTGTTCCGTGGGAGCCCGCCTCCCCTCATTCTCCCCGCCTTCGCGTTGCTCTTGCCGCGCCCTCCCTGAAGGAGGGGAGGGGGAGATTCGAGGTGTTGGGTTTGAGACGTTTTGTTTGCCTTTTCGGCCCCTGGGGGCGCCTTCGGGCCCTCGGACAGTGGAACATGAATCCAGATGGGAAAATTGCACCAGATGGTCACCAAGAGATGTGGAGGACCGATTTTGACCGGATTTGGATGTATCCCCTTCTTGGCCGATTTTTTGTGGTCCCAGCCAGTGCAGACCACCCGGCCGCCTCCAACGCTCCAACGTGCGAGTGCTGCGCTGGTGGCAGGGGAGAAGGGTGGGGAAGCGGAAGAGGAGGACGAGGAGGATTCGATATTGGGACGGAGGCGGGGGGAGAAGGGGGGGGGTGGAGGAATTAGAAAGGAGGGGAGGGGGGTAGGCTTCGAAGACGTCGTGGTTCTTTTGAAAAGATGCCGCCCTGGATCGGAAGAGGGAGAGGCGGCACCACCCCCCGTCAGGAGGGCCAACTCCAGCAAGGGGGCCCGCGATGCCTCCCCGAGAGGGGGGTTGGGGATGTCTTGAGCGAGGTGGGGGACCAAGGCACCAGGAGGACCCCGCCTGGCGCCTCGCGCTGGTGGTGGTGGTGGTTTCGCCCTGCCCTCTTCTTGCTCCGGCTGGCCCCTTTCTGGTTCGTGGCGACTTCCTGGTTCGGCGCCCCCCCTTAAATTATCCTGGCGAAGGACCCAACCATATGCAGTTGTGAGTACCGCAGTTGTGAATATCTTCTTCGGTGGCGCTCCCTATGGGGCCACGAACCGTATGAAGGTGTGCCGAATTGTGTGGCGTAGCCTCTGCAGGGGGCTTCCCTGGGAACCCCGACGGCAGCGCCCGCGCGACGCGACGCCCATGTCGGCACGCCCATCACAAGGATCGCGCCCGCATCCTCCCTTCTTTGTTCCTTTTCATTTGCCCGCGCACTCCAAAGTCCAATGCTGCGGGCGCAGCGCAAGGCGAGCCCTCGCGACGCGCGCGAGAAAGCCTTCGGTGGAGCCTGTATGGGGCCACGAAACGTGTGAGGGGTGTGCCGAAATGGGTGTGCGGGACGCATGCGGGCACACCCACTGGGACCTTCCGTGGAGCTCCTTATGGGGCCACGAAACGTGTGAAGGGTATGCCGAAATGGGGGTGCGGGACGCATGCGGGCACACCCACTGAGACTTTCGGTGCAGCTCCCTATGGGGCCACGAAACGTATGAGGGGTGTGCCGAAATGAGTGTGCGGGACGCATGCGGGCACACCCACTGGGACCTTCGGTGGGGCCTCCTCATAGGGCCACGAAACGTGTGAAGGGTATGCCGAAATGGGTGTGCGGGACGCATGCGGGCACACCCACTGGGACCTTCCGTGGAGCTCCCTATGGGGCCACGAAACGTATGAGGGGTGTGCCGAAATGGGGGTGCGGGACGCATGCGGGCACACCCACTGGGACCTTCGGCGGAGCTCCCTTTGGGGCCACGAAACGTGTGAGGGGTGTGCCGAAATGGGCGTGCGGGACGCATGCGGGCACACCCATGGGACCTTCGGTGGAGCTCCCTATGGGGCCACGAAACGTGTGAGGGGTGTGCCGAAATGGGTGTGCGGGACGCATGCGGGCACACACTGGGACCTTCGGCGGAGCTCCCTATGGGGCCACGAAACGTGTGAGGGGTGTGCCGAAATGGGTGTGCGGGACGCATGCGGGCACACCCATTGGGACCTTCGGTGGAGCTCCTATGGGGCCATGAAACGTGTGAGGGGTGTGCGAAATGAGTGTGCGGGACGCATGCGGGCACACCCACTGGGACCTTCGGCGGAGCTCCTTATGGGGCCACGACGTGTGAGGGGTGTGCCGAAATGGGTGTGCGGGACGCGTGCGGGCACACCCACTGGGACCTTCGGCGGAGCTCCCTGTGGGGCCACGAAACGTGTGAGGGGTGTGCCGAAATGGGTGTGCGGGACGCATGCGGGCATACCCACTGGGACCTTCGGTGGGGCTCCCTGTGGGGCCACGAAGCGTGTGAGGGGTGTGCCGAAATGGGTGTGCGGGACGCATGCGGGCACACCCATTGTGACCTTTGGTGGAGCCTGTATGGGGCCACGAAACGTGTGAGGGGTGTGCCGAAATGAGTGTGCGGGACGCATGCGGGCACACCCACTGGGACCTTCGGTGGAGCTCCATGTGGGGCCACGAAGCGTGTGAGGGGTGTGCCGAAATGGGCGTGCGGGACGCATGCGGGCACACCCACTGGGACCTTCGGCGGAGCTCCTTATGGGGCCACGAAGCGTGTGAGGGGTGTGCCGAAATGGGCGTGCGGGACGCACGCGGGTACACCCACTGGTACCTTCACTGGAGCTCCTTATGGGGCCACGAAATGTGTGAGGGGTGTGCCGAAATCGGTGTGCGGGGCGCATGCGGGCACATCCACTGGGACCTTCGGTGGAGCTCCCTATGGGGCCACGAAACGTATGAGGGGTGTGCCGAAATGGGGGTGCGGGACGCATGCGGGCACACCCACTGGGACCTTCGGCGGAGCTCCCTATGGGGCCACGAAGCGTGTGAGGGGTGTGCCGAAATGGGTGGGTGTGCGGGACGCATGCGGGCACACCCACTGGGACCTTCGGCGGGGCTCTCTATGGAGCCACGAAGCGTGTGAGTGGTGTGCCGAAATGGGTGTGCGGAGGAGGAGGGGGAGGAGGCAGCGGGAGGAGGAAGGAGGAGACGCGGGGCGCTGTCTCTTCAAAACGAGGTCCCAACACCACAGGATGGTTGGGAAAAAAACGATCCCATCCTGCTTGCAGCCAGGGATTGCCGTTGACCGCCCCTCGGTCCCGTGCGCACTGCCTTCCGCCCCGAGTCTTCCCCAGCCTCTGGCCACAGGCCGGCGGGCCCGGCTGACGGGGAAGGGCTGGACGAGCGCGCCTTTTGCCCAGACGTCCGGCACATTGGTTTTTGCAGCGCCGACGGTGTTCATCAGTTCCAGCTTCTCGGCGCCCATGTTTATAAGGGAGCGAAGAACGACACAAACATAACAACTCGGAGGTCCGCGCGGATTTTTCGGATCCGCGCTGGATCCTCCTGGCGGCGCCTCGGGCGCCGCCCCTGGCGCACTCCGCGCGGCAGGGAGGGGGGTCCAGCGCCGATCCGAGAGATCCGCGCGGGCCTCCGAGTTTTTACGTTTACGTCAGTCTTCGCTCACCTAGTTTAGGGCCTTGGGGCCATCACGAAACGGTCCCATATGAAAGAACGGCCCTGGAAAACGGATCTGTAACCACGGGGCCTGTGGGCCGGAATCTGCAATCCGCCAGAGGCCTGCGGGCTAGTCGTGGGTGGTTTTGTTTAGCTCGCGGCACCAGCGCCTTGCGGGCTGAATGGGTCTCACGAGAGCTTCAGATATCCAGAAAGTAATTTGTTTCTGTTGTTCACCGAGCCTCCTTCGGTGTACGCTCGTGCTACCTGCGGCCCCACTCGGTCCTGGTCGGGTCGGGCACCCGACTCGCCGCTCTCTCGCGGCCGCTTCAGGTCCGATGGGCGTGCCTTCTGCTCCGCCACGCGGAGGGCGTTCCACTGATGCCGTCAGCAAGCAGTTGTCTGATGCCGTTAGCAAGCAGCTGTCAGGCCGTGGTGGGAGAAGACCCTCATTCGACTTGTCCTCAGGGGTGGCGATTTGAGGCGCGCGACGCAGGGCGCGGTGACATTGGCTGCCCAGCACCAGGTCTCGACTGCATATCTTCGGGTCGCAAAGCGGCCCGCTCCGGAACAGAGCTGGATGATCGTCGCTCGTCTGTCTCCTGGCCCCTCTGCTTGTCCCCCCTCCTTACCTCTCAGCAGTTGTCGAGGCGACGGACGGGAGAACGGAGAAGCATCTCATGCCGTTGTCTCTCATGTTGCACCAGGTATTCCCGATTGCCTGCGTGATCCCATAACAAAGTTCAGTACGATTTGACGAATGACGGGAGATCTGTCTGCAGCTAGATTGAAATGTTGACGTCGTGTGGTTCGTTTTCCGACTGCTACATATGTATACGCCATCAGAAAGAGGTGATGAAGCATTGAATTGTGTGTTGGCTTGTCGGGCGAAGCAGCAGTGCACGGTGCATGCATTTGACGGGTTCATTCAGTTGTATATGTTGGGCAAGTCGTATTCACCTAGTGATGCCTTTGTTCACCTAGTACTGCCATAGGCGTATAAAAGGTTGTAAGATGAGTGGGCTACGCTGGATTGTAGTCAACGGGTGCACGTACCCAGTAGTATTAGTTCATGAGAACCGTTGCACGTATGCAAGTGGCACGTGCGAGTAGTAACTAAAACTTGTGCAGTGGAAACTTGATGCCGTCAGGTTCGGGCATCAATGGCCGATGAGATGCGGGCCTGGTTTGATATATGTATTATGTATTATATATATATATATACGAGACGTGCAGGCTGGGTAAATGTACGGCAGTTTCGGATCCGTAGAGAGCGCACATATTTATGAGGGTCGGAGATGCAAGGGGTGGCGGACCCTCAACATGTACGTTTCGCAAACGCAGGCCCGCGGGCGCGCCTTCGGCGCGAGGCCCAACAATCGGGCATTGAAGCTCAGCTGTTTTACTTCCTTGCGAGCTTCAGTCGTGATGGCGCGCCTCGGACGCGAGTGCGCGCGCCTTGCGTGTACGTGATCCCGTGCGTGGAACGTAAAACCGAAACATTTTATTACCCGGGCGTCATCGTCGTCATCGTCATGATGAGCATCGCCATAATCAACATATTTGTGGGTAGTTGCCCGCTCATGGGGCGAGTGTGCGCGCGTGCGCACGTCTGTATACCCTGCCAGACAACAGGCATGCATCCGAACGCGCCCCGCGTCGGCGAGGGCGCCGTCTCGGACAGGAGTCTGCGCGTTCCCTCCACGATTGCGCCCGCGCAGGGGGGGCTCAGTCGTTCGCGGCGCTAAAGCGACGACGATGACGACACCGACGACAACAACGCCGCCGACGACGACGACGATGATGACGTCGGCGACGGCGATGGCGACGACGACGTCCAGGCCTCCCCAGGTTCCCTTCGAGGTGTCCCGACGACGACGTCCAGGCCTCCCGAGGTTCCCTTCGAGGTTCCTTTCGAGGAATCGGAGGCCTGTGGAGGTCCATGGAGGTTTCTGGGAGACTCTGGAGATTTTTTGGAGGCCACCGACGACGACGACGGCGGCGGCGACGGCGACAGCGACGACGCCGTCCAGAGGCCCTTGGGGCCTTCCCCCTGGAGGTCTCCCCGGCGCCTTTGTGGAAGTCGCCGATGTCCCCGGAGATTTCACCGGGGGCTCAAGAACTCGCCCGCCGATTCTCGCGGATTCGCGCACGTAGATTTTGTTGGGTTTCCAGCAACGGTTCGTGGCGGATTCTTTCGGACTCTCACAGATTATCGTGGATTCCGCTGCGTTTCTAGCAAGGGTTCGCGGCAGATTCTTACGGATTCTCGCGGATTCTCGCGGGCTCGGCTCTGTCGCGCGCCGTCTGCGGGCCGCGAGCGCATAACGGCCACGAGGGCGGCGGGCTGCGATGACCGTGGCCGCCCGCGCGTTTCTGCAGGCTATTGTACCCGCCTGTGGGCGCCAGGCAGTGCTTGCTGTCGTTCCACCAGGCGCGTGCGATCGCTTGGGGCCGCCTGGCGATGCCAGTCGGTGTTTCCGCGCCTGCGAGCGCCGTTGCGCTCCTGTGAGCGTTGTCCCGACAGTGCCTCTGAACGCGCTCGCGCGCCTGAGAGCACCCGCGCGCCACCGCTTGTGGGCGCTTGTGGGCAACCGTTTGGATGCGGGGTTCGGCCGTCGTTGCCGCGCGCCCTGTGGCTACAGTGGCTTCTCACGTGTCCTCCCATGGCCTCCAATGGCCTCCAATGGCCTTCCGCCCCGCTGGCTTTGGGCGCCCGTGTCGGTCGTTGTTGCTGGCCGTTCCGTGGCAGAGTGCACTATCCACTAGCCGTGTGTGGCTGTGCCTTCGCTGGTGGCTCGCCCACCGCGGCCTTGCCGCCGCGGATTCGGATGGTTTCGCGCGCTTTGTTCCGATAATTGTCGTTTTGTTCAGGCGCCCCGACATTGAATTCTCAAATGAGAAAAAAATCCAATGAGAATGAGCCCCGCGCCAGAATCGAAAGTGTGAAACCAGGTCTAATACCAGCTTTTGGCAAGCAGCACAAGTGAATATCGCCGTGTTGGCGCAAAATCGTCGGCGACTGCCCATCTGGTTTTGCCCCGGGTCCCAGCAACCCCCACAATTCCGACTTTCTCACAAGTGTTGTCTCCGTGTTTCGCCGCGACGTGCGGCTGCCTCTTTCCCACCAGCGATCGATATTTGATTCATCTCGTGCACCGTCATTGCCCAATAATCTGGCCCAACGTCGACAGGGGCCGTGAAAACAAAATATGGCAGCGTACCGGCCATCACCGCTGGACGTGCATAATGCATTTTCTCATTTGTTCGCCAAGTATTTTGCAGCTTCGCGCGCAACACCTGTGCAGTAACACACCGACGTCAAGCCACTATCTCCCTCCCATCCTCTCCTCCAGTGCATTGTTTCCTGACACGAGCTGGGAAAATCGATTTATTCGTAGAGCCCGCTGTTCATCTTGAGCCGTTGTCTGTTAGCCCCAGGGCTGGGACGCTGCATCCGAGGGCCCAAAAATATAAGCGCATGCACTCGCGATGTTGTTCTGCGACGCCCATATCCCGAGCCAATGTTGCTCCCCGCGTATCACCCAGACCTTCGACGTCGTGAGTGTGTCGCGGCATGGGCCCGTGGGGTTATCGTCCCTGTTCCCGGAACCAGTTTTCCGGCACATTGTGGTCTTGGTAATTGCCCGAGGCCCCGAAGACGGCGTTCGGAGGATTAGATGGCGACGGATAGAACGCCCGTCGCGTTTTCGTTTGTCTCTGAGGTGGAGAATGTAGCCACAACCGATCATCGCCCTTTGGGGGCGTCGGCAGGTGGTGGACATGGATATGTTCGGGCCCAGAGGGAGCAGTCATATCCATATCCACCACATGCCCCCCTCCTCGAAGATCGATCCTCCAGACTGTGGTTATGGAGAAAACTCCGCCTCGGATGAATCGCGATGAAAGCCCCCGTCGCACCTTTGCCACGACGCTCGGAGGTCTGGATGGGTATAGCTGCTGGGTTGCTCGAGCTCGTAGGCAGTATATGTTTCCTACTGCTCATTCTGCCCGTTCCGTCTGTGAACGGTTAAGATCTGGGCGCCAGCGAAAGTGCACGGAAGCCCACGTTGGTTGTTTGTTCAGCCCTTTTCTCTCCCCCATCTCCCTTCCTCCGCCCTGATTGTGGCAGCTGCACCCGACAACGCCAACGATGTGAGATGGATTTTGGCGGCAGCACACACCAGGGTGATGGACGAGGCACCCAGCCGCTTACGTTTCACGGATTTGATTTGTTACTGTCTTTATCAAGGCGAATGTTTACGACGCCGCGCCCTAAGGGGCGCGCGTGGGCACTTTCTTCTGGGCCTTCCAGGCCTTCCAGATGGGATCCGAGCAGATGGGGTCGGAGGATCGCGCCGCATCGCCGATGCCTCGGCATTGCGGCTCGATGTGTAGCCCGATCTTCTCCACGCGGACGTCGCCGATCATCGCACACGTCGCCGATGCATCGCCGATGCATCGACGATGCATCGACGGTGCATCGGCGATATGGCGAGGTCCTCCGACCCACTCCGACCCCATTCGGAAGGCTTCTGCCCCTTCCTCCCGAGGCCAGCCAGCCGCCGCGAGGGCCCGGCCAGGGGTCCTCCGCAGACGGCAGGTGTGGAAGCTTTCCTGGCCTTGGTCCAGGCGGGACGGGCCACTGCTCGGGCAGCGGCCTCTCCCAGTTGCCGCTTACAAGTCGGCGATCGGCTCCGCCCTCGCAGGATCACTGGTAATCATCCCTCCCGCCTCGTCCCATGTCATCTTGCAGCTCCCTACCTCCTGCCTCCTCCTACTACTACCTCCTACTTGGAGCCGTCTGGGGGTCCGAGGTGGCCCAGCGCGGGTTCCAGCGAGCAGGAAGGAGGGGAAGACGTCGAGCTTCTGGGTTCGAAAAGGTTTTCGCATGTTTCTGCTTCTGGGGGCCCGTTTCGGACCCTTGGACCGTCAAAAACGGATTCCTTATCAAAAATTGCACCACATGGACCCCGGGATGGGTCTGGGGACCGATTCTTAGCGGGATTGTCCTCTTATGCCCTTCATGACCGATTTTCTCGAGGTTCATCCAGTTCAAACCTCCTCATCCTGCTGGTTCCTCCTCCCTACTTCATGTTTTGCCGGCAGGGCGTTGGGACAAGGGTCACCTATGATCCGGAATGGCTCGCTGATTCCCCGGGCCTTCATGCCGCGCAGTTGGGCCCAGACGGGCATCCTTTCCTTCTGCAAGATCGCTTATGGCTAGATTTCAAATGCAATCGTCGTCGTCATCCTCCTCGGTGTCGTTCTTCTCTCAGCTCATCCTCTCGGTGTCACTTGTTGTGCTGGAGCGAGATCGCGCCGTGCCCGCCACACTGCATGAGTCCAGCGCGTTTCCGACCATGTGTAGCTGATGTGGGCGCTAAGTCTCGCTGGAGGTGGTAGTTTTCCAATGGCTCGCGAATCACTCTCCTAATATCTGACCGAAACCCTGCTGGAAGGAAAACAAGTATGATCCTGGTCCACCACCCCGCCTCATCGCTGGGCGCCAGTCTGAGTGGCCAGGGTCAAGTTGTCTTAAATTCCCGCGGCCAGGGAAGGCCCCCCTGAGCAGCTGTCTTGTCTGCTGCGCAAGAAATGTCACACAGGGCTGTAACAATTGCCGTGGGTCCCCAGCACAGTAGGCCCCACACCTCAATCACATCACCACGGCAATGAGTTCTTACTCGTCTCGGCAGCATGCAAGGTGGGGGGGTTGGGGTCCACGACTTCGAGTAAAAGTGAACGCAAACCAATTGTAGGAACGCGTGGTTCGTGTGTTCAAACTACTCGCTGTGTCGTTCTCGTTCGATACATTCGCCTTTTTGACATGTAGGAAACGGTGTTTCGCGATTTCCTACCATTTGTTCTGCGCGAGCTCGGTGTCACAAAAAACAGATTCCCAACATCGCCGTGACCAAGCATCGCCGTTAGCGCGGCCGCGGATAATACCATATATTCAACTCAAGCTCTTGCTTGATTATGTTCTGGACCATCTCAGGATGCAGCTTGGCCCCATCATTAGCACATACGCATCTGGTTTAGCATTGCCTAGTTTATGAAGCCTAGCTGCAGCGACTGCCTCTTCTCCGTCGTTTGCTTTCGCCTTGCTCAACAACCAATCTGGTCATCCTCGAGAGAAGAGTGTTTTCCAAGCGATCTCCCCCTCGTCGCTGCCCGCTTGTCCTGTGGGCCTGAAAAGAGGGCCTGCCAGTCGACGTGCAGTCGATACGTATCCCCACCTGGTTCGAAATGCTCCAGGGCCTGGAGCACAGCATGGTGCTCGGCAAGCAAAGCTCTCTGGAGCAGAATCCAGGGAGGCTGCCACAGACAGCTCGGATAGATTCTAGACGTTTCGCGTAACCTCACCGGTTGCCCCTCGCCGCCAGACCGTTGTCGCGCGGCCGCAGACCAAAAAGGTAACACCGGCTCCTGGTCTCGTTCCCGCGCCATTTTGGCTGCGTTCCGACCTCG